GTTCGAGTTAAAGTCTGGCTTGTGTGTGAGGGTTATGTGATATCTGGTACCACCTCCATGGCATGTTTGCATAACGTCATGTCCGGATTCGCTAGTGGAGGTCACGTGCTTCCGTCCCTCTAGTGGAGATCCTCCTGGTGGAGATCTGCAGCCAGACCCTTCTCATTTGCTTTGGTGGAAGATGAAGATAACTTGTCACTGACCGTGGTTAAGTTAGCGAGCGCACATGCGCGCGTGGTTCGACTTTTGGCACTAATTTAACGCCTAGGGAGCGAGTGAGTGCTGTGCAAACGCGAGCGTTTAGAGAGCATGGGTTTTCTGATCGCGAGCGTGGTTTTTATGCGCGCACATTTTGGCACTAATTTAATGCCATACATACTGCTGTAAAGAAATGTAGGAAGGATTTTTTTTCTTTTTTTCCCCCATGTCACTGTACATTTTTTTCCTGTATACAAATGTACAACACAACAACCCTCCTTGCAAAACATTAGAAAAAGATTCTGCAACGCATTCAATACTGACAACATTTTACCCATGTGGTTTCTAGAAGACACCAAAATCTCCAAAATCTGTGAAAAAGTGTGCAAAAAAAGTGGGCAAATGTTTGGAAATAGCAGCATTCGGATTTGTGAGGAAATTGTAACCAGGACGAGAGAGGAAAGAGAGAAAATGAGAAAGAATCAAATAACAAAGGGACATGGCATGAAAAGCATGAAGTATATTAAATATATAAGTGAGAGAGTACAAGGAAGTCAGTTAAGATGTTTATGGCAATATGTGGGATAAGAAACGTGGATAAGAAAGTTTGTAGTGATCATGGACGTGGACCAAAAGCTAGTGCAAATCCTAGGGGAGACCCTGCTTTTATACATATTTGCCTCTAATATATTAATTTCTTTAAAACGAAGTAATTATAAGTGGCAGGAGGTGCCGCGTGATGCTAAATGAGAAAGCTGAAATACAGAAGGGGTGGAAATGTAAATAGAGTTTAGATCCTTTGGTCCTGCCACCTCTAATCGTCTCAGTGGTTCTTCCCTCCTGGACTGTGCTACTTGGCCTTAGGATTGTTTTCTGCATAAATGCCTCTAGAGGAGCCTTACTGCCTTTGTAAGGTTTTCATTTGCAGACCAAAGGCTTCATTTTAGCCCAGAGTTTTGTTCCTTGCATTGGACCAAAGGAGTGTGTTACATTTTGTGTTCCCTCCACATGACACACATAAAGGAAACGTGGAGCCAGCATTTCAAAAATGTATACAGTTTTTGTTCAGTTGAATGTGGTTATTATGTCTTTCCAGTTTTGCTAGATACAGATTTATTTAACGTAATAACATCAAATAAAACATCCAGTGATTCTGAGGACTCTAAATGAAGCCCACAGCTATTTACTTTTTAAAAATATATTTTGATGAGGAACAGAAAAGAACGTTATATTTTTATATTATACGTACAAAATTGTGGTTTTTGCCGGTGTAAGATTCTGTTAATCTAATAACAGCATAAAATAAAACATCCACTGATTTTTATCAAGACTGCACATGTCCCTGTTTTTGTTTGTTGTTTTTGTCCATTTTTTTCTATTGGTGTTTCTTGTCATGATGCTTTATTGGTACCAGAATTTTTTGCTGCTTTAGACAAGAGTATATTCTGTAAATGGATGAATGTAGACTATAAATGTGGGAGGGTAAAGCCCTCCCCCCCAGCTGGGGAGGGCAGGGGGGTCTTTCCCATCATTTTAATGGCAGTGGCAGCAGAGTGGCTGGCATGTGTTAATGAGGGCCCTGCTTTGAAGATAGGAAACTCGGTGTGTCTGCTGAAAACCACAGATTGGCAGTGAGAAGCAGGCCACACACACACAGCAGTGTGTACCAACCCCCTCGTCACAGGTCTCATGCATGGTGCCGGGTGTGCTGGCTGTTTTACGCAGGTCTGCAAATTCACATGCACATGGGCACACAAACCCAAGCATGCAGCTACACATGCGAAACATATAAAGCAACCAAGCTGATAATGTGTGCTGTGTTTTATGGCCGCATATGAGTTAAGCTCTTGGATTTAGTCTGTCACTAAAGCTGTCAAGAGTTAGTGCTCCTTGTGGAAAATATAAGTGGAGTTTGGAGTATGGTTTCTGTCTTGGAACCTGAGCATTTCAGGCACTTAGAACCTCTTGACATTCTGATTCAGTTGGGATTTGAAAATCTTGCTAAACTGCTGATGTGATCCATTCAAGTCTGGCAGAAAATAAGAAGATCACGGATGGCCAATTTCAATAAAATGAAATTGCAAAATCTGAAATGAATAACAATTGCATTGGATTTTTATGGGCACAACAACAATTCTTTTGGGATTTTGTCATAAACCCCATTCTGTGACAGTAATACAGTTCCACTGTGTGTGTTATTATGTATGGATCTACATGTCTTCGTTTGTAGAGTCCCTTTATTTGTCACACTAGCCAAAAGCTAAAACGATGTAGAAACGGAGCGGTTAAGAACAGGAAAAATTTTCTGACACAGGAACAGGGCTACTAATTGTGATGATTTGGGGCTACATCTAAAGACATGAATTGTATATGACAGGAGAAATTCTAATTATGTTCTTTGTCTGAATAGATTTGTTACTGGTTTTCCATTATTATCTTAATGTAAATAACAAGTGACCTTGATTCACCCACATCCTCCTTGAACTATCTTTGCATTTGGTATATCTGAGGCTGCATTTCTTTTCTCTTCACAGAACATTTGTTGTATATTTCTCTCTGGTGCATAATGGAATAAAATTGAGATATTTCTGCTGCACCAGCACTGGAATATCCCTGTAGCCAGCCATTTTAGTGGCGAAGGGGAAAATTGAGAATCCAAAAGCCACCATACAATTACTGAATACTGTCAATCAGCAACAGGTTTAATACACTGCCCACTGGAAAACTTCCCACTTGAAGAAAGCAAACAGTGGATGAATGGACACAGTAAGCGCACTCATTGTGGGTTTTGAAGGCTTGCTTCCCATTTGTTAAATTTAAGAGAATTATGAATAATTTAACAGGATGAAGGATATTGAGCATTCTAAGAAAATGCTGGTAGCGGTGAATGGGGGGACCTTTGGAGGAAAATCGATTCCCAGCCCTGATAAAGCCAGAAGTGGCTCAAGAAAGGACTAGATGGCTGGACAGAGAAGGGGGAGCAGAGGGGTGTGGAACGTATGCGGGTGGAAGGCGAGTGGTGTGTGGTTCCTCCCGCTGACAGCTACGCCTCCCGTCGGGGGAAGCGTACTTGGCGCAAGCCCGTGTCCCATAATTCACTCCACAGCAGCAGGCCGCTCTGGGAGCTGGGCCTGATTAACAGGCAGGATTTGGAAAGGGAGCCAATCGCTGCAGCTCCTCTGATGTCATCGCTTCTTCTTCAGGGGATTCCTGTTAACTGTCAGATGCTGGGCGTCCCTTTTCAGAATGAGGCTTTGAGGGAAAGGTATTCCTGGCAGCTGGGTGGAAGGGAATAGGAGCTCTGAAATAGCAGCAAGCCTCACTGAATCTATTATCAGTTCGTAGGAGATACAGGCTTAAAATGACATTTCTTGCATGGTTTTCTGCATCTAAAGTGACTCACTGCTGCATGGCTTTCTGTATCGAAAGTGGCTTGGCATATTATTTTCTTTCTCTACAGTGACTTACATCATATAAATGAACTGTGACCTCAAATTTCACTCTCTCTGCTAAATGTGTGTCTCAGGAAAATAAGATGGGATAATTGAAAACAAATGAACTGCTATGTACCCAAACTCATGCTTGTATAAATGGAAAATAATGTGTCGTTATCATTATCATTAAAGGAAAACCATGCCAGATTGAAATATTTTTACCTATTTCTTCTTTAGCCAAACAATTTCTGAATTCTAACATACAGGATATTATCATCTAGGCAGTGCCCTTGCTCATATGATTTGCAGCATAGAACAGCTGCACATTTGTCCATATTATAAATGTTATTGGGGTACATGAGTGACTATTGGACCATAATGGCTGTGGAAAGCTCAGAAACACAGCTGATATCAGACACATATAAGGGGAGGAACTGAATGAGGTATCTATCTTTTTCACCTGTTTTATCAATCTTCATCAGGAATATTTTCTATCTGTGTGTAACTATACACAACTCCTATGACCAAATATATAGTATCCATCCATTCATATTCCTACCACTTACTCAGTATGGAGTACGGGAAGGTCTGGGAGCTCAAGGCATGAGAACACCCCTGGAAGGGGTATACAGGTGTACCAAACGAGACAGGGGGACACCCCTGGAAAGGAGATACAGGTGTACATAACGAGGCAGGGGAACACTTTGATCATTATTGATAAAAATTCAAATTTCCACAGGAGAAGTAATGACAAGATGGATGACTGGATGATACATGCTATGCTATCTATACTTCATAAGATGGTTACATTTATTCTGATGTTTGACCCTACTTTCCTGTATTTACCTATATTTAAAATGCAACCAAGGACATTGAGCATGTACATTTGGCAAACAGCGTGTGACTACTGGCATTGTTATAGTTACAGAAATTTTTGCTTTAGGCAGTGTAATTGTGTTATACAGGGATTTTGGTCATACCGTTTAGAGAAAATGAAAAATATTTCATTTCAGTTAAATTAAATTAAATTTATTTTATACATAGCTCCCTTCTCAACATGCTTTCCCTAAAGCGTGGTTTTGCAAGAACACTGAAAGTTGATTGAAAACAGTTGTCCAAGTTGATTTGAAACAGTTCTTCAATGATTGATTAGTTAGGGCTGGAAGATTACATTCAGTCAAGTGTAATCTTTTTATTCAACCTTAAATTCTTTTTGAACTCAACTGTCTATTGAGTCAGATTAATCATTTTAATATGTTTATAATCAATGAAGGTATAACTCTGGACTCTGGAGGATGAAAACATGAAAATAGCGATCATTTTGGTACTGTTTGATTTCTGATGAGCTCAAAACTTTTTGTCTTGACTGAAAAATATCTAAAAAAGATATTTACTTCAAGATGTATACTTCATATTGTATAAGCTTCACTTGTGTGCAAAATCTTGTCACTACTGTTCACTGATATGCCATTGTGACTTTTTAAAATTATGCTTAGTATTACTGCTAGAAGACATGAGACCAAACACATAATTTAAGTATAAGTTATGATATTTATTGATTTTTTTCTTAATAAATAAAACAGTAAAGCAGCATTAGTCATTGATCCTCACTACCATGTATTAACACCAGCTGCACATATTCAAACCATTGATGTTCTCAGCCACACTCCACCCCCTGTAATATCCAGCCCTCTGAAATCTGAAAGAATATGTGAATAGGGCTGTCCAACTGCTAGTATTGTCTTATGGCTTTATATTTTTGTATCACTCATTGTCTTTCTGTTTCCCCAGGTCTGATGATTCCAGTGTTCTGTGTGGTGGAGCAGGTGGATGGGGGTGTGTCCTCTGAAAGGGGTGTGGCCACAGACAGCGAATGGCGGGAGGAGCATGCAGAGTTTGTGTTGGTGCGCAGGGACATCCTCTTTTCTCAGCTGGTGGAGACTGCCCTTTTGGCCTTGGGCTATTCACACACTTCTGCAGCCCAGGCACAAGGTTGGTTAAGGTCTTAGAGGGAGGGGGGAGAGAGATAGAAATATAGCGGGAAGAGGAGCAAGCAAGCACTTAAAATGAGGCTAAAAACCATCAAAAAACAAATGCATAAACAAACATGTGAAGTGGTCAAACAATTTATTCAGAACTGTAACACTAATAGCCAATAATTTGTGTATCTGTGACTTCGTCATAACTTGGCAATGTGGGCAACATTTTTCAGCATAAACAAAGCAGAAAGGTTAATTTTAAATGGCGAGTGACTCCTGCTTTATATCATATTGAGTAAGACAAAGGATTGGGAATGATCGAGTCACTTGCTACTGAGTTAAGGAGAGTATTTGCAAAATGCTGTCCAAAACATAAACACAGGATTGGAGCAGAGAAGAGATCATACAAGAGGTTTTTGGTGGCTCCAAGAATAAAAGAAAGAGTGTGCATGTCATTGTGCCTGTGTATGAGTAAGAGAGTGCTTAAAGGTACACAGTAAGTTTGTATTCCATTGTTATAGCACATGGTGAACATTATGAGGTGAAGACAGTTTGTCTCAACTGAACCCAGTCAAGTATTGTGCAGAAGTTTAAAAACAACTGATGAATGGTGACAACAAACAAGCTCAGTTTTATTGATTCATGATATGTGGAGCATTTTGGAAGTTTAACTGAAGTGAGAAGTGTAGCAGCTTTTACAGAACTCTGTTTTATATGGCGTATTATAACATTACAAATACTCTTATAGTGTTTCTAATAAAAACACATGCAGAACACCTCAGGTAACATATGGGATAATTGCTGAAATCATGTCAGTGTGGGCCTCATCAACAGCACACCATGATGAATGATGCGTTAGGAATCTTTATGAACCGGTGTCCCTTTCACCTGTGGATGGGGTGCCAAAGCCCCGCCCACTGCCCCGGCTGGAACGTGAGCCAGGGATTACAGGAGGTCTCGCTCTCTCTGGCTGTCCCAGAAAAGAAAGCGAGAGCAGCATCAAGGCGACCCGCCGAAATAGTGAAAAAACAAAACAAAACCAAGAAAAACATAGACTAAGCAAAACACCATAGAACTCAAAGAAATTAAATGGAGAGGCGCCCAGCCGGTTAAAAAGTTCAGCCCTGAGAAGAAAAAGCAGAGGCGGAGAGAGGGGTGTCGTGCTGTCCCCGCATTCCGATGTCGGCCCATAAACACAGACATGAAACGGGCGAGCCACTCCCGGCCCCCCCTGCACGTCTCAAATGAAGGCTTTTTGTTTTTTAAAATAAGCGTTTACGTTAAATGAATAATTTCTGGCTTAAATTACGCATTTTTTTCTTTGTGGTTTGCAACCAAAATTACACAGATCCCCCCTGCTATTTTCTCCCTGTTTGAATTGTGTCCTTCATACTCTCTCCCGGGAGTATTTTTAAACTCTTCCCAGAACACCAGGGCTTTTCTTTAATTAGACCAGCCAGTAATTAACCGGGTGATATTGTTTGTTTCAATTATACAGGCTTGATGGTTTTTTTAGAAGCATGTGGACAGATCTGTATATTTAGGCCTCAGACAGTTAACAACGATAATTATTTTTGGTAAGTGGCCATTGTTGTTTGCCGCGTTTGACATTGAGCCAACGTGTCATTTCGATGAAATATAAACTATAAATCACATATGTATAAAATAGAAATTTTATTACTCACATCGGTGTATTGGTTTGCATAAATACATATTATAAATTTAAAATGAAGCCACATTTACAAGCGTGTGTTTGTACTTAATGCTTCACATGTTCTTCAGTAAAGGACTTAAATACTTCATAATGTTCTTGAAATCCACAATAAAGGCATCTTTGACTCAGGCCTAAATTAGATATAGCTACAGTAGCACAGCATCCCTATGCCCTTATGATGATGATGTTTCTGTTCCAGGAAAGTGGCTTCCAGTATCAGATTTTTCACAGATATATGCAGAGGGCCACAACTTTGAAAGTTAGCGTTATTTGTGGAGTAGCATTTCATAGCTTTTTGCTTGGCAAAACTGTGTATCTTTGTGCATCTTTGCCAGAAACAAAACTATGTAACTGTACGCATTTTTGGGCCATTTTGTCTGAAATTTTTGTTTCCCTATTTGCAGTCAAATTCTAATCCATAATCCCCACATTCCTAACCAGCATTCCACAGTCCTAATCATTATGGACTATGTAGCCAAATTGATCACAATAAATTTTTTTATAGCAAATTTCCCATGATAGTTGAGATTAATTCATAATCACTTTCCATGAGTGAATTAAAACTGACGGTTTTAAGCAGAAATACAGGGCTTCTGTTGCTACATTATGTATTATCACTGTATAAGCTATTTCCTAAAATGGAATTGTACATAATATCTGAATTCTTTTGGAACCAGAGATCCAAAAATAGAAAAGCTCAAGTCACTTCGGTTATTAAGTTCTTTGGCCCTAAGTTGTTGGGATATTACTCGTGAACAGTCACTAAACACGCATGCACAATTATCTGGCTTAGATTTTATAAGACTGAAATGGCGCTAGCATTTTATGCCCAGATAAACACTGTAAAACTGTTGTGGATTAATCTGCCAATTGAAATCTGCAAAGTAGAAAAACCAGAATGAGCCCCTCCAACCCTTTCATGGTTATATGGGATTCTCATATAGATAAAGACACAATGTACCCTATACATATACATATACAAGTCTGCTGTTAGAATATCAAGCATTACTGCTATTTAAAAAGCTCTGGGTGTCCTCATTATATTGAATTTGCTTGAATACTGCGATTTCCCAGGTGGAAAGGTTGCCACTCAAAGCTGTATTTTTTATTTCTTGGGAGAACCACGGGAGAATTAAGTGAGATTTAAACCTGAGGTCAGGAATTGGGCTGTTACAGCATTTCGGCAATCTGGTTTCATGATGTGCTGTGAGTGGCGTGATTGCTGGGCTGCTAACTTGTGAGGCCTGATTCCTGCTGGGCGCTCTAATTCCCAGTCACAGGTTGGGCAGGAGAACTTGTGCTGGAAAGATTAACAATGAAATATAAAGTAATGTTTCAAACCCTCTTCTTCCCACACAAGGTTTTAAAGCGGCCAGTGGGTTTATTAGTGAAATAATGTTGTTTTTTTTTATTGGCAGGTATTAATTGGCTTTTACGCAAATGCTAGCCTTGACCCACCATCTCTGGGTGTGGTGAAGCTCCCCGCACGTCTTCCCTGCCATAAAAACCTTTCTCATCTTGTTTACGAGTCATGACTCATCGACCAGACAAAGGGTCGTGACTCTTCTCTGACTGATACAGGGCTAATAGATAAAGCTTTATCAGTTTGCTTTAGTCTTTAAGTGTGGACATCCTCACAGTGGACGCCAAAGCTACCCCTGCACACACATGTTCATACATGGAAATGATCTCTGAGATACATAATCTCTCTTGTCTGGTGAGAATGATGCTGGGTCAAGGTGACGGTGTGTCCACATTTCAGTGATTGCCGGCTGGCAATATTCTTGGGTTTTGAAGTTAATTGGGGCTGACTTGAAGATGTCACATCCTGCCTCCCTCTTCTCAGGTATCATCAAAGTGGGCCGCTGGAAACCACTGCCCATCCGCTGCCTGACAGATGCTTCTGAGGCCACTGTGGGTGACATGTTGCTGGATGTCTACCATATGGTCACCTTGCGCATACAGCTGCAGAGGTCAGTGCAGGGACCAGCCATGGGAGGGGGGGGAGGGGGGGGGGGGCATCTTCATTGCGCATCTCCATTGCGCAAGTACCATCACTAACCAGAGAGAGGACCTCAGTTTAACTCTAAGGCTTTTTATGCAGTTCTTAAACTATCTATAGAGCCGATGAATAATCTCCAGGAATGTCCGGGAATGTCCCATAAACTGGTACTGATGCTTGGAATTAAATGAAAACCACTTGGAGCAGCAGGAACATTTGTGGTTGGCTTGTTAATTCCCACACATGAATCAAACACTTCTGAGAAAACCAGTCACTAAAGCCTAACTGCCATATTTGACTGTATTCCTTCCGCTTAGACCATGACGGAATTTAAACTAGCTATCCCCATTTATGATGTATGATAGTAACAAGACTCTGAAAATATGTCTAGGAAATCAGTATTGGCAGCTTACATTGCCTTTAAATGTAGTGTTGAAGCAGAAATATTGTAATAGTATCAGTGTGAACTATCCTAGTACTGGGAACCATCCCAGCCGGTTCGTTTAGTTGTACTGGCCCAGTGAAACAAGTGCCATCCAAGCGTAGTGGCAGCAAAAGCAATTTAACTGTGGAACGACAGGAAGGACAGGACTTCACGGTTTCCATGGTTGCAGCTTTTCCAAGCTGGAGGACCTGCCGTCGGAGCAGTGGAACCATGCCACTGTGCGCAATGCCCTCAAGGAGCTGCTAAAAGAGATGAATCAGAGCTCACTGGCCAAAGAGTGCCCTCTATCTCAGGTACTATACTGACCAGTTACCTTCTTCTCCAGCTAGTGTATCAACCAAGTGACCTTTCTCCTGGGTACTATAGCAACCTACAGGATCTTTCTAGTACTCCTTTGTCAGGTATAACAACACAGCAACTCACTGGTATCCCAGATACCATTGCGGGCTAGTGACCCTTATCTTTATCATCAAGGCAACTCATTTACAGCTTCCTTCCACCCCCACCTGACTGACTGACCAATCATGTGGACCTGTTCAGTCTGGAACCAGAGCAACCCTATCACCATAGTAACCCTTTGACCACCACTGCAATCACCCAGTACCATTACTTCTCAACAGGACATTTTTCATATATGCTGGTGCACTCTGCAGAATTCTATCCGTGCTGCAACTCAGTTCTGAAATGACTCACTCATTGTCGCACACTTACTATTAGTAACACCCCTCTTTTGTAAACACAAACATACAGATGTAGACGCAGAATCCAAGTCAAATAACTTTATGTTTAAATGGAAAAACAATAACCATAATGGTGAAATCAAGCCAGAAATGCTGGTGTCTCCCTTAAATAGAGCCGTGCATTACCCCAGCAGGAGATGCACACAGCATTATGGTCTGTAGACTGACTCAGCCTATTGATTAGCATGTGACTGTTTGCTAAAAGGGAACAGGATGTTAGAAATGAGAGTAATAAACTTTTGGCTGATGCATTTGCCTGAGTTTGAAGCAATGTGTGTGAATGACTTAAGTGGGGCCTATTGTGACACCCAGTGGCTCATGTATTTCCAGACCAGTCCTGAAAGGGCACACACACACACACACACACACGCACACACACACACACACACACAAACTGACACACAGAGGAACAGATGCATACAGACATGTACTACAAACACACACACAAAGACACAAACACTGAAACAGATACATATCAAACATGTAACGCATACACAGAAAGAGATAAACACAGACATGCACCACAGACACACATATTTATACACATACAAAAACAGTTACAGATGTGCAAGCACACACACGTACATGCATACACACGCACACACACACACATAGTCTCTCATACACGGAAGGCTGTCTATCCAGTTAGCCAGTATGTTAGTGTGTAGACTAACATATTTTTCTTAAGAGAGAATGAGGATTCATTAAAGAAGGTGGACAATATGATGACATCCTCTCTCAATGTTTCTCTGCCTCTTCATCTCACTCTCCCCTCTCTCACCTGCCATCCTCTTCCCAGAGCATGATCTCTTCCATTGTAAACAGCTCCTACTATGCCAATGTCTCCAATTCCAAGTGCCAAGAGTTTGGCCGTTGGTACAAGAAGTACAAGAAAGCCAAAGGTATGTAAGTAGGTCCCATTGCACCTCTAGTAGCAGTTATCACTTTCACATTGATTTCTCCCCTTCAAAGAAGGATGAAGTGGGGCTGTTTCAGAATATCTGTTTGCTCCGTTGAGCTTCCTTGTGGATGCAGCTTGAATGCTTGAATGTTTTGTGGTCATTTGAGCTGCTGATGTGGCCTCCTGTCTGCCTTCTGTGTAGGGGATTACCTGGAAAAGACATGGTCTGGGCGAGAAAAATCTGACATCAAAGGTGAGCTTGCCTCCCCCCCCCCGTGCTCGCAGGCAGACCTTCCACTCGGAAAATAGGACCGTTCTTCTGTTTGTGCACACAGCTGATCTTGGTTCTTGGATAAAGTAGAACACTAACCCATTAGGAATAACCAAGATTGTCATTCAGATACACTTATCCTACACTTTATATTTGTAACTGCATCATCTTCTGCCATACTGATGTAGAAGTATGGTGTCTCTCCCCCTACCCCTGCTCCATTTCTCATGGCGGTCCTGCCCACTGCTTTCCTCTTTGCCCGCAGTGGAGAGGGAGAGCCTGGCTGACATCTGCATGCTGGGTCAACGCCCCCCACCTCACCTGCAGGCCCCAGCCCAACTGGGCTCCCCAGTGGGTATAGGGAGTCTGGTAAAGGGACCGGCAGAGTCGCCCTCTTCAGGCCATCAGCCGCAGCAGCAGCAATCCCAGCAGCCTCCGCTCCACCACAGCCCTCCTCTGCGTGCCCAAGTGCCCCTGTTAACTCCGGGGGGGCTTCTGTCCCCCCAGCTGAGCCCCCAGCTGGTGCGGCAGCAGCTGGCAATGGCCCACATCCTCAATCAGCAGCTGGCTGTGAGTCGCCTGCTGGCCCAGCAGCACCCCTCTGCCCTGGGCCCCCCGTACCTCGGCCATCCGCCATCGCCGGCTGCTGCCCGCACCCCCACCAAGGCCGGCGACCCAGCCGCCGCAGACGTCTCCCCCGACATCTACCAGCAAGTCCGCGACGAGCTGAAGCGCGCCAGCGTCTCACAGGCCGTCTTTGCCCGCGTGGCCTTCAATCGCACACAGGTACCACCTGCTGGTGGGCAGGGGAACAGCTGCACCTTCCTCATTATTTCATCTTAATGAACCCTCATGGACCACTTTTCCAAACAATAGCAACAAACACAGCATCTAGAAACAACATTACACGTATTTTTGTTAAATGTTAAAATGAGAAGCAATTCCAAAAATAGACACAGACCGGTTTTTCCTTTTATTTAATATTCGGCAATTCATCTTGCAAAAAAAACTGTACAGAAGTGCAAGACATTCTGGCAACATTAATTAAACTTGCAAAAATAATACCGCTTACTAAATGTGAAGTATGACAAAAGGGTCACACCAATGTAAGATGGAAATTCCACAGTGACAGAGACAGTAGTAGGCGTCGTAATAACAGGAAGAGGCAGGGGGTAAGTGGGTCATTATACTGCCAGAAGCACTAAATTAATGCTGACATTAAATGGAATTGCAAGTGGGCTGTGTCCTATGTGTCTGTTCTGCCTCTTCTGGTGTACATGGAAACGTGTGTGATGGATAGTGTTTCACTTTAAGTGACGGCATCCCGTGTTTATTCCGTGTGTTTGCACACGCGTGTGCGTGCGTGTATCAGGGCCTGTTATCTGAGATCCTGCGTAAAGAGGAGGACCCGCGCTCAGCGTCTCAGTCCCTGCTGGTGAATCTCAAGGCCATGCAGAACTTCCTCAACCTGCCCGAGTCCGATCGCGACCGCATTTACCAGGAGGAGCGTGAGCGTAGCATGAATCCTCAGGTCGGCTTGCCGGCCTCCGCTGCCATCCCCACCGGGGGGCCCCGTCTCCCCCAGGTACAGCCCCCACCACATCAGAGCGTGTTTTAGTCTCTTACGGCCATCAGATGCGTGTTTACAGACTAGCAAAGTGCACTGCTGGACATGTATGACCATCTACATACGTGTTACCAGCTTTGTTACTCTTCATATTCATTAATTTATTTGTTTAAACTCAACTATTTCATTCAAAGCTGCTTATACATCTTATACATCACATCTTCAGCTTATTTCCCATCATACACAACAGTACATTTCTGAAGTAATCACTTTTGTGCCATGTTAGTTAAAAACTAACCTTATAACTTAAGTCACTGACCATAATGGTTCCTGCTAGATACCAAAATTAATTTTATTATGGCAAATGCTGGTGAAAATCCACTGTACCAAATGTGCAACCACATGAACAGAAGCATTAAAACATTAAATTGTTAAAACAGACAGTAGGGAACATCTACATATTGCTGTATATCCATATTGCTTTCGTGTTGGCTGTCAAGATCAGCACTAGCTCTTAGTTCATATGGTGCCAGCATGCAGTGACTGGGAAGGTGTTTCACATGTGTGAATGCACATCCAGATGTTTTTGATAATTTGCTTTCAGCAATTTCCGAAGATGTTTATTTGAGTAATGTGAAATCCTCGACTGTTGTCTCTGTCGCTCTGCTTCTCTCCCTTGTTTTCTCTCTTCTCTTCTTCTCCCTCTCTCACATCCCCTCTGCATGCCTCCTCTCCCTTCTTCCTCCTCTCTTACTCCCGTTTTCTTTATGGCTACCTGCCCCATTATAGCCAAAGCCCGTTGGCCCCAGCCCTGAGATGCCCCTGAAGCTGGAGACCCTGGTCAGCATCTCCTCAGGCATCTATGATGAGATCCAGCAGGAGATGAAGCGGGCCAAGGTCTCCCAGGCCCTGTTTGCCAAGGTGGCAGCCAACAAGAGCCAGGTCATCCTACTGCATTTACCTATTTCTTTTTACTGTCTTTTTCATTATTGCTGCTGTTCTAAAAGAATTTCCCCATTGTGGGATTAATAAAGTCAATCTAATCTAATCTAATCTAATCTAATCTAATCTAATCTAATCTATTAATCTAATTCAGTGTTTCCCAATCCAGTCCTGCTGGACCTAAGACAGTCCACGTTTTTGCTCCCTCCCAGCTCAGAGCAAAAATTGGGACTGTCTGGCAGGGAGCTTGGAGAGAGCAAAAACATGGACCGACTGTGGGTCTCTAAGGACCGGATTGAGAAACCCTAATGGAATTTATTAATTGCCTGTTTATTTGCTTTATTTATATATTTCCATAGCTATCCACAGTTATGATGGAATATAGAAAATACATGTGATTTCACTTCACGGTCCAAAACATTTACCATCTGCTCAAATGTCTGGCTTCTGATCCAGCAAATGGTGTGGTGGTGATGAATCCCACAATTCCATTTTCATTTCCGATATCGTACGCTACCTACCTTCTGCTGTCTCTCGTAATGTTAAATGTCTGGTCCAAACCTTTCCTTAAGGTCCTCCGTTCCACATAGGGCACTGGTAAATCATTTAAAATAATAGGCACAAACACCAAACCCTAGTGAAGTATCTGCTGCCTAATTTACCCTTAGTGCTGCTGTTGGAAAGAGACAGATTTATCTGTATCAAAACAATTCAGCTATTTTGTTTGTCACTTTATTGCAAATTTTTTTAAGTGCTTTTGAAATATATATCGGGAGTAGCTGAAAAAGATGTATATTGCAAACAGCCAATGGCTGCTGTCTCCTAAATTGTCAAACAGCATTCCGTCTGCAATCAAGATGCATGTGTGCTTCTGACACTGGGAGTTTTGGGAGGCGGAGCTGGTGGTTTGTGATGGCAGCAAAGTGGCTCCAAATGTGCCCTGAACCGCCCAGTCCCGCTCAGCTTATGTCATGTGCTGCTGATCATTATCAGGACTCCCATTTACGCTGTACGCATTAACGGGGCCCCCCCCTCGGGGCCCGTGCACACAGCGCTGAAGTAAAGTGTAAAGTGACAGTTCCTCCCAATGATTTTATCCCCTCTCAAAGGCCAGCATGTCAGGCTGAAATCTGAGTCCTACACAGTAATGGGCCCAGCAAGACATAATTAAGATCAGGGTCCGATCTTTATTCCTTCTTAGGAGACGCTGATCCTCACCATTCGTACTTAGTCATAGGCCTATAACACGCTCACACCTATTCTCCTGAAAATACTGTCTAAGCTGTTACTATTTAACAACTGATACATACTGAAACCTGATTTGCCTCTTTGTTTATATTCCTGGCAGCGTAACTGGAAGATACTTATTCGGTTAAATTCAGTCCAGTCTGTATTTTTTCTAATACAGTGTCCTTTCCACTGGAAAGCCCAACCCACCCCCTTCCCCCCAAAAGAAAAGGATAAAAAACTTGGCTGGAGAACGTAATATCTAGAAAGCAGCAAGATAGAATACAAAGGCTATTAGAGGCCCAGCGACAACAACTAAATGCGAGGCTGTCTGGGTGCCTGATTCCACACAGGGCTGGCTTTGCGAGCTCCTGCGCTGGAAGGAGAACCCCACCCCGGAGAACCGGACCCTCTGGGACAACCTGTGCACCATCCGGCGCTTCCTAACTTTGCCCCAAGCAGACCGAGACCTGGCCTATGAGGAGGAGTCCCGACACCAGCACCATGGCGAATGGCCACACACCGTGCTGCACCCCCTCCCAGAGCCACAGGTGAGGCTTCGGGTCGGGGGTCCCCCTGGCTGCCAGACACAAGCACGCCTGCATGCACAGATGTGATCATTCTCCCACTGTTTTGCTTTCCGTTCATGCTAAATTTCAATGAAATCAGAGACAATTCGGTTTATATCATGGTGGTCAAGCACCAAAGCTCAGCCCATGATAACCTATGGTAAAGAATGAAAGAGCGCTCTTTGCGTGTAATCTCAGTCTGGCCTGTGAAGCTATGCTGAGCTGCGTCTTCTTTGACGCCAGTTACATGTTCATCCTTGTGGAGGGGATGCAGGATTGTAACCCCCACCCCCAAATAATCAAAATCAGCCAATTCAATCCCCTAGACCCCTTAAAATGGGTGGAGACCTCAACCCCCCAATGCTCAACCCAAAATTATGCTCTTGTGCTCACCGCTTTTCCCTAAGGAACTTTCATAGGAACAAGGCTGCACAATCCTCTGTTTCTGTAATAGAGGGAGGAGAAGAGAGGGTAGCTGTAAGGCTAGAGAACAGCTACATGCAGTGCCTGGACAGCTGCAGGACAGAAACTGAAATCAGAGACTATACAGCAGCTAAATGCAGTGCCTGGACAGCTGCAGGACAGAAACTGAAATCAGAGACTATACAGCAGCTAAATGCAGTGCCTGGACAGCTGCAGGACAGAAACTGAAGTCAGAGACTATAGAGCAGCTAAATGCAGTGCCAGAAGAACTGCAGAATAGGTACAGAATATAAAGAAGGCCTAGTGAAGAGAGGAAAAAGGAAAAACCGGAGAGGGAGACATGCATGTATAAATCTTTGTGTATATACTAGCCGCCCTTGTAATGTGATCCTTTATCCTGTCTGTGTGCTATTGTGTGCCATGCTGGTCTATGTACATGTAAGCCATGTGTCTATGACCCACGTATGTTCTCCCGCCAAAGGCAGCCAATGAGAGCCTGGGCAGTTTTCTGCTGCCTTGAGGTTAAACGCCTCTCCCCAGAACCACCCCCCCCCCCACACAAATGCACACAAACACAAACCACCCACATCTCCACCACAGGCCCCGTGGCTCCAGCCAGCCGCCCGCCAAAGACCACACGGTGTTCAGCTGCTCCACACACACACACACGCACACAGACAAACACACACACACACACACACTCAGACACACACACACGCACAGACAAACAGACAAACACACACA